TTAAATCGTGACAAAGTTTATGAATGTGCTCATATTTAGCATTAGCAGCGGCTTGAAGGGTTGCAAGAGATGATTGATAGTTATTCGTATCGTTGCTATATTTTTTATATTGTTGGTCTGCGTTGTCGTATTGAGCTTTAATGTCTTCAAGAATATTACAGATAGTTTTGGTTTCTTCAGTTAATTTGACATTGTCGTGATAATGGCTATAAAATTATCGATATTGTATTAATAATTAAAAGTATAAAAATATCGAGCTTTTTGGATTACCTTAGGGGCCCACATCCACATTCCGAACATATGTCGTTCGAATTCATACAAGAACAATGCCTAAAGTGATCAGTTCCGGAATTATTTTTAAATTCAAGTCCACAGCCATCATGGCAAATAATATTATTCTTTAGGTGAAGGGTACAGACAGTACTATGATAGCTAGCACTAACAATTTTTTTTAGTGTTTTGGTTTCTGTTTTCGTATAGTTAGAGAAAGAATTTTTTTTGTCTCCGGTTTTTTGCAGGGCCTTCTGAGCAGCATCTAGAGAATCCTGGATTTGTTGAATATTTGCAATATCTTGCGTCACTTTAACAATTTCGGATTTAATTTTATCTCTATATGTTTTCATCCTTTCAAAAGCTTGAGTTGAGGTAGAAGACATCTCGGTAATTTCCATAAGCAAACTATCGATTGTTCTAATAGACTTATCCCAATGAAACTGAACAGTGTGACGCTCATCTTCGTCATTCTTCCAGATTTGAGGGTTAGTGCAGAAGGCTTGGTTGTCCATATGGAATATTTTCTAAATGTAAGGATAGTAAATTAAATAGTATTCAAATTCACATAAAGTGGATAGGTAATGGACAGTGTACCAACCTTTGGTTTTGCGATTTCTCTTGCAAAAGCATCCTCTGAAAAGCAAGCACTGCTTTTTGCGCATTTCGTTAAAACAAGCAATAGATTGCGGTCAATCAGGTCATCGGGAATGTTATTTGCTAACCGAACCAAAGTATTCTTTATCGACGGGGTTACTCTAGCTTCAGTTCCATTTGCGATTATTACGATAGCAGATAAAGAACCTGCGGAGATTGCTGTATCTATAATTTCTTGGATATTCTTATCGTCTTGCTTTACACCATTCGTATCACTTAGCCCGGGAGTGTCAATTAAAATAAATTTATAAGCGGGATTGTCAGGATGGTTGAAATTATAGCTATAGCATTTTGTGGTTTGACTCTTAGTCACATCATCAACTTTTGCTTCCGAATGTGCGTTAGCAAACCCTAAAATAAAAATGAATAAATAAAGTTATTTCTTACACTTAAATTTCAATTAATTAATTTTTTAAAAACTTTAAATACCTCTCTCGGTAACTTCGTAATACTTGGTGGGAATGACTACCTTTGGTTTATCAAGGTTACCGTCTAAAAAGTAATTTGCTATCGTATTAATAATAGTAGACTTCCCAGTTCCAGTTCCACCTAGTAAAAGTATTTTGAAGACTCGCGTCTCTTGACCAGATAGGTTAATATTTCTCGTAGTCCTTCTTTGAGAAAAATTGTAATCATTATTCTTAGGACGATCATTATTGATGTGCATCGAACTGGGTTGGTTATTATTATTACGCGTAAAGTAGTCAAAATCGTTACTATTATTGCTCGCAAGATAATCAAATTCTTTGCTATTATTACGAGTAGAATTGCTATTGTTTTTCTGGTTTTGAAATGCATTCAAGAACTGTGAAAACATAGCTTGTAAGTTAGGGTCAGACCGTTGGTTTTGTGGAACAAAATCTGGATAACAACTATAGGGAGGTGGTTCCACGTTAAATTCTTTTTGGTTTTGAGTTTTTTGCTCTAATGTCGTTTTACTCATACGAGTAGACATATCTAAAATTAAAATAAATATACTGTAACTTAACAAATAATATTTTTAAATTATTCACATTTTAAACTTGCCTTCATAATCACGTTCGAATACCATTCCTTCTTCATCATACTTTTGTTGTAGCCGCATGGCAAGCTCATAGTCACTATCGAAGCTTTCCTCTTTATTCATAGCTAAATTACAGTATATAAGAAATTTATTTCATGTACTGCATATAAACCCATTATAGAAAATTTCCTGCTATTTTCTGTATGAATTTAAATTATGTTTAAAACCTAAAATACCTTTACTTGAATGACATGTTTCGCTTCGAATGCCTGGGTTACGATGAGATTCTAAATTTTAACAAAACATTTAATGTATACCTGGTCGCTAATTCACAGTAAAATTCAATTATGCTTTAATAAATTATTTTACCATAATATTCTTCGTTCAATCTTTGTTGCAATTGCTTAGCAAAAGTATAATCGTCTTCGTTGTTCATGGTAGCGGTCGATAGCGGTTAAAACTCTTACGTTCAAATAGATAATATATGCAATTTGCAAGACCATTTCTTGCAAATTTGGCTACAATTGGAAAGCGAATCCTTACCCTTTTTGTATTTCATTTATTCTTATTAAAGAGTTTAATATGACTATTTCGGATATACGTATACTGTAATAATTTTATTGGCGCTGAAACAAAGATTAATTGTCTCGGTAATGTATCAATGAATATTCATGTGACATCCTTATTATAGACCTAAAGTAGCATAAATCGAATTAGAAACTCATCTTTCTCCAAAAAATAGTTCCGTTTCGAGTGGAGTTTAGTCACTTGTGAGACCTCTGGATAAGAAATAAGTGAAACTTAGAAGGGAATACGGTAATTTTTACATCATCTCTGGATACGTAATCAGTAAGTCATAAATATCAATCGATCGATATTATACATGCAAGACGAAGACGTCAAAAATCGTACAACCATGCATTGAAATAAAGTACAGCCCCGGACATAGTAACAGACCCGGTCTATCTTTTTAAATTACTTAACAACGCCACCAAAACTTTAACCATTCAAGGGTAATGTCAACCCCAATCTCTTGTACATTTACAAGTTTGTGTGTCTTCTAAGTAAGTCAGAGGATGGATAATCAGCGAACGCTGCGCCCGATAATGGCACTTCCACTTCATTAAGTATTACAATCATGCTTTTACATAACACCCTAAAAAAAGTACTAGAGTTTTTCAGATATAGCAACTCATTTCGGCTGCTCTAAATCCACAGTTATTTATTGAGTCCAAAGGTGGTAGATCTCGAAAGATCTGTCTAACGAACTAAAGACCAGCCGGTGGAGTAATGTAATATGAAACGAAGCAATGTGAACAAATAATCAAAAATAGAGAAAATATAACATAATATATCTAGTATCGAAATACATGAAGCAATGGGAAAAAAGGGTGTAGTCATTAGTTTAAGAACTATTTAGTGAAATATTCATGAATTTAGAGACAAATAT